GTAGTATCACCTACAAAATCAGAAAGCAGCTTGGATTGTAAAGACTTCTCTTGCTTGGAACTCTTTAAATCTGCATTCTTAATAAAGCAAGGTTCTTCGCCACAGTTCTTTCAGTAGCGGCACAAATTGGACGTCTAGAAGAAGAAGACATGGGGTTTTTGCCTCTGTGGGATGGACTTTGGGTAGTGCAAGGCAGATGTTGTAGCCGGGGCAAGTCGCTGCAGTGACATTCCTGCTCAGGCAACCCTGTAAGCCTGTAGGTGTGGCACCCTCAGTACTATCAAACCAGGGAGTACAAAAGGAGATTTATGTCCTCAGTGATGTTACTGCCTACCAAGGGGCTCCTGATGTTCCAAAAACATGGGACAGGTAAACATTTTCTTAAGAAATTATGTTGTTTGATCTTTGTATACTTTCAAGCCAAATCGACCAGAAAGGAGATTTAATCAAGTTCTAAGTTATGTCCAGGTGTTAGAAAGACAAATTGCTTGTTGTCAGAATTGCATTTTTAGGGCTTCACATGTTTCAGTGAAATCACACATCAAAGAGGTGGAGGTTTACAAAGTTTAGGAAGAAGGATGTACTACTGTCAGTGGGCACAAAGAATGAAGAATTTATTGGACACAAGGAGATTAGGCAGAACTCCCAAGACAAGGAAGAAACCAGCAAAGCCAACTCAGCAGCAGTGCTGGGATCAGCTCTGGCTGGACAGAAGGTAATTCTGGCAGGGCAAGCTTGCAACCATCGACGAGAGAAAAAATGAGCATGTGGACTAATCAGCGTAAGAGGGGAATCATTTGACCAACAGAAGATAGCATGTTTATTAATAAGAGAACTGTGTAACTTGTATCCAGTGGACGTGAATGCCTTTATTTGCTAAAATGTATAAATAGTGATAAATTTCGGTAGCTATCGCGCCGTCTTTGCGCAGCCCTTTCTGCGCAGATCTAGAAATAAATCAAAAACCTCGCCCCTGCGCGTGGATCGGCGCCTTGCACACCGTGTGGAGGAAGCTGCTTCGGGACACAGGTCCCGGTGCGGCCGGGAGGTGCCGCCCAGACCAGCATTGAACCCTTCACGGCCTCCCCGCAATGCGCCGCCCGGAGCCGCGGGGCCGCGCCCGGTGACGCCCCAGCTCCCACTGCGCATGCGCCCAGCGGCAGGCGGCGCTGCCCGGCTGAGGGCGGTGACCTCGGTACTCGCGCGGCGCATGCGCGGGGCGCAGCGCCGGGGGCGGGCAGCGATGGCGGCCGCGCTGGGGCTCGAGTCCTCGCCGGGCTCCGCCGCCGTGAGCGAGCTGTGCCAGAACAGGCGGGAGATCTTCCTGGAGGCCTCGCGGCTGCTCCTCACTTACGCCGACAACATCCTCCGGTGAGCGGGGCCGCCGCCCTCGGTCCGCGGGCGGTGCCGCAGGGTCCCCCCGGCCGCTCCCGGCTCCGCGCGGCGCCTTCGGTTCTGTTGTGTAATACCGGAGTTCAGAAGCGTCTCGCGTGGTTTTGTCGTTATTTTTAATTTAATGCTGCTTACCTAGAGGTGTAGTGTTCTGTATTTCTGTTTCTTTATTGCTGGTTGGTTTGTTTTGTAAGTTTAAGAGTTTGTTCACAACATACTACCTTGTTCCTGATCATCCACCTTAGGTGGGTGTTGAACTACCTAAAAACAAGTGGTGCACAGCAAGGAATTTAACTTGATTTTAACTTAATTTTATTTTTTATTCTATTTTTCGCTTGCCCTATGCTTCTGACTTCGCAAGGTTGGTACCAAGAGTTAATTACAGCTGGATTTCTGCGAGGTGGCTCTGTAGGATGCACATACACGCTAGTACATGTGATTGACCTTGATATCTTCCAGCAACTCGAGGTGTATGGGCTGCCCCTCCCTGTCTATATCTGGCTTGTCTTTTACAAGCTTTTACCTCTTGTAAAAGCTGCTGTGTGACAGAGAATGGCGAGTCCCGGCCTGGCTTCATTTAAAGGAAGAGGTGAAAGAAAAGAGTTTTAAAAGAGTTGAAAGAGCACCTCTCTGTGCTACTGAGACCCAGTCGTTTCACTCAAGTACCAGGAAGATTAGCATAGCTTCTATAGTGGGACCAAAGCCATCCAGTATTAACCTGACGTGTTCAATTAGAATGCACCAGGTACAGGGAGATGTGAAGTTGTCTCTAAGTGTCACTTAGCCCTGCTGGGTATAACTACAACATGAATTCATGAACATAAGTTGCAAGCTAAACTTTAACACTAGTTGGTAACTCAAAGCTAAGTACAAAAAGACATTTATAAAGTCAAAGTTTTATGTTGGTTTTGCTGAAGTGACATAAATGAATCTAAAATTAAAAAAAAAAAAACTTTCATAGTGCAGTTGCACAGCTTTTAAGTGTCTACTTCATTTGCAAATATAATTATAACTTTCAATTTGTTCAGGAATCCCTATGAGGAAAAATACAGATTAATTCGGATTGGAAATCCAGCATTTTCCACAAGGCTGTTGCCCGTCAGAGGAGCAGTTGAATGTTTATTTGAGATGGGATTTCAAGAGGTGAGTATAATGTAGTAACTAAAGGTGTCTGCCAGTTTACATAGTAAAATTTAAAATTGCAATTTTTTTTCTACTTCTCTAGTTGCAAGGCAGCAGTACATTTTAGGGCAGTTGGTATTTTCTTTCAGTCCTTGTCTGCCAATATCTGTAGCTAGCCAGCAGAGAACTTAGATGTGGCTGCTTCAGAAAAATGATGAGCTAACGTAATGCTTAACAAGATTTTTTTTTTAGCTGCTCAGGCACTGCTGGTTTACTGAATGGCTGGGTTCATATCCATGCTGGCACAAAGGACGTAGTGGGAAGCAAGGTGGAAAATCCTTTTCTTTGTAGTAATCTGCTGTTTGGTGAACATCAGACATTATAAATGGGTGTTGAAACTACCATTTTAAAGAGAGAAAAAAAATAAAAGCCCTGCTCTTCTTCATATTCCTACCATTAGTAGATCCCTGTAGTGATTTAGGTAAGGGAAGCTGATCTGATGAAAACTTAATTTTTCAAAACAAAACCAGAAATGTTTTTCAGCCAATTCACAGTGCAGCTGCACAAGTACTGGTGTTGTCATGGCAGCAGTGAAGGGCAATAGACTGACTGTTCAAGTAGTAGTAGGAGGGTGAGTCCTTCAAAACCCATTTTTAAAACTTATGGAACATTATCCTAAAATAATGTTGAGTGAATCTTGATTCTGTTGCAGTCAGAAGGATTCATTTCAAAGATTGCTTTGTGTTCTGAAGTGGTCCCTGTCTTGGTGGAACTTAAACTGCCAAAGATTGTTAATCTAGAAGCAGTTTTTATAATTGCTGGAAAGCTGGTCTGAAAACCCAGCTCTTGTTTAACAGTGCAAAGTTCTTGTTTTGCTTTAATTTGTCTCTTTGATGCCACACTTCTGTATGGGTTTGTACATGATGTTACTTAGGTCCAGCTGTCATGAGACCTCTGCCTTCTCTTTGGGTAAATTTAATTACTGTAATGTTTTAATTAGAAGAAAAAGTATGCTGAAAGAAGTGGTGACTACGGAGAGAGAAATGGTCTGTGGATGTATTCTCATGCTGGTGCTCAGGAGGCTTTTAATTGTGCATTTTAGCCAGGAGGTGGGCAGTGTAGGTGGGGGCAGGTCTCTGAGAGTGTGTTGCCTCGGTCTTATGGTTATTGTGTCAGTCAAAGGTGTGGAGCTCACAAACTTCTCTTCAATTGCATGGCTGATATTGTTCCTTCTTTTGTTTCTGCTTGATAATGGATTGATACATTCTTTTGAGTTTTGTGGTGATTTTAAGTGTTAACACAAAGCCTCCATCTGCTGTGATATGTGACCTCAAGTAACTGTAGGTAAACAAATCACCTTATAAATAGAAGTGCTGCAGTGGTAGAAACTGAAACTGTTAAAGGATGAATGTTTCAGGATATTCATGTTTTTAGTAACCTGTTCCTGTATGGTAATTACACAGATATTTGATTTGATTATGTCATAATTACTGATCTCTTGTTATACTACCAGTAATTACGTTGCAGTTCAAAAATAAAACCCAGAAATCAACCCAGGTACCAGTTGTAATAAGGATAATATTGCCTATCTGAAAACTTAAAACTTCAACATAAAAGATACCATTATGGAAGAGAATTTCCAGCAGATGCTGTTGGGACTTCTTCCCTCAACATTGGATGTCTTCCTGTGTTGCCTAGGATTTCATTGCTGTACTGTGAGAACTGAGCATTAATTGTTCATTTCTGTTGTTGCTGCTTTCTGTGCCAAACCATAATGACATAGCCCACAAATGGCTCCACAGAATAAGCTACTAACAAAAGCATGCTGTTATGAGCCCTCTTTCTCTAGATTGACTCTAGCTTCTTTATCTGGTAGGCTTCTGAAGCTGTGAGAGGCTTCAAGCTTTTACTGTAAGGGATCTAATCTAAAAGGTTGAATCCTGCCAAGCATTAGGATGCTAACTTCCAGTAAACTCAGCTACAGCTACAGATCATTGACCAGCTTCGACCTGCATTAACTGCTGAATTAATTTGTCTAAATTTCAGGGAGAAACTCACCTGGTTTTCCCTAAGGAAGCTTCAATTGAGCAACTACGTAAAATCAGAGACTTAATTGCTGGAGAGAGGAGTAGCAGACTGAATGAGTCAAACCAAATCCACAGATCAGGAGCCTCTGAAACTGTCAGCAGCACTCAGACAGCTGCACAACGGCCTTCGAGACCTGTTGACTCTGGTTTTGCCCCTGCCCGTCAGCGACCAGAAACATCACTTGTGCAGTCTCTTGAAATGGTAATTATAATTTGTGAACTTCATATGCTCGTTAGTCTTGCATATAAGGATTGAAGAAGAGTTAACTGTTAGGACAAGTTGCTCAGAGAAAATAAGTAGAGTCCAAATAAGCACACTATTAAGCCTAGAGCAGCTTGATTTGACCACATAGCTAATCTTGCTTTAAGAAGGTTGGACTAGACATTTTTTCCCCACTGCTTTCTGAAGGCTTTTGAGTATTTTCTTCAGGTTACATAGAACTTAAGCATGAAATGTGCTCTAAACAGAATGTTAGCAAGAGATTTTGTTGAAGATGTCCATGAATATTCTGTTGATCAGGGGGTCAAGAAAAAAAGCTCATACGTATTGAAAAGGAACAGCAGGATGGGGAACAAGGGGGAGAGTGAGAAGCTAAGACTAGGGTTGTGTTTGGTGTTTGAGAGCCAACAGAGGAAAAGAAGCATAACCGTAATGCTTATAATTGTTGATGTCTTGGTTCATGCATTATGATCTCTATGTATAGCCTGTGAGGAGGCTTTCTTTTTTCACGTGTGTGTCATTAAAAACAGAAATTTAGCCAGACAAGGACAAATTTATAGTTATTTAGGCTAAGTTTCCCTTGTCCAAGAGGTTGAGGTGAAGTTCCTGATCAAGACAGAGCAGAGTCCTTTCATCTGATGTTAACTGGCTCGCTGGGAGAAGATTCAGCACCTCAATTTTGAAAAATTGATTTATGCCTCTTGATAGAAGCTTTTAAGGATGCTTTGGTGTAACTTTCTGAAGAGTTTTTCCTCCTAGAACCAGTGTCACTTTAATCTTGAAGTTGGTGTAAGATGAATCCCTCCAAAAGCTCACTTCCCATGCATTCTTAAACACAATTTGCATATTTTATATTATTATATTATATTATATTATATTATATTATATTATATTATATTATATTATTATATATTATATTATATTATTATATTATATTATATTATTATATTATTTTATACTGTTGGATATGCTGTATGCTGTTTCTTCCCAATGCCTACCCAAGTCAGTGAATGAGAAATGGCAAAGTGTTATTTGAAGTGATGGCTTTTGGGGGTAGAGAGTGCTAAATGACCCATCCTCACACAAAAGGTCCTCTGGGAAAGGTACTGTTGTAGGCATGTTGTATTGAGACATTTAATCTAATTATGTTAGCATGTTAGCCTGTTGCCTCTAAAATATACTGACTGGATTAGTTTTACTTTGTTTGGGGATTTCTGGGTTAGTTTTTTGGCCTGCTTCTAGATTTTTATTGTTTCAGTCACTTCTGCAATGGTGGTTGGAAGCGATGATGAAACCTGTAGAGTGATTTCCTGCTGCTGTACGGCTTAGTATGGGAAGCTTTAGAAGTTGAACCTGCAAGGACAACAATTTTGCACAATGTTGACACTATGTATTCTGATGTTAATCCTTCCAATTTCTAGTTACACTGCCCCAACATACACTAGCCATCAGAGTTGTGCATCAATTTCTCTGAAACTGTTCATTTTCCATCCATACCTGGATGGTGGAACCAAACTTAATACTATTTAGAGGCTTTAGTAGTGCATTGTTGGCACTCTGTTAGAATGCTGTATTTAGCTGATCTCTACAGGAAACTATACTGATAAGTCTCTGAGCCATTGAATTTGGTCGTTATAGTCTGAATTGATTGGAAGGAAGTCTGGCAGTGACTTGGCCATTTTGCTTGCACAGCAGTGGGGGATTTGTTTTCCAGTGAGTGCGCTGCAGAGTTATAGTTGTATTATCACTGTATGCACTGCTGACAGATGTCAGAGAGATTTAGAGTTGTTTCTGTAGTGCAAGCATTTTTTTCTTGCCTGTGTATTTCGCCTGTCATTCACGGGAGGCCTGGTGAAAGTGTACCTGAAAGAACAGAGGAATATTCATAAATAAACAATCCTAGGGACCTAGCCCACCGTTAATTTGCCTCATTGTTTTCTTCTGCATTTCTTGTCGTAAAGTATTCTTGAGACTTAGGGAAAGGAGAGCTATGGCTAGTTGTTAATTCTGGTGGGTGGATTCTGATCCCTTCTTGAATGGCATAGTGATTACAGGAGGAAAGGTGTATCCAAACTTAGAACTGCAGTGAGATTCACCTGGCTTCTAAAATTAAATGTTTGCATAACACTTCATACAGAGCCTTTCATAAAGCAGATTAAGCACTACTGTAACACTGATGGTTTTGCATCAGAAACCTGAATGGCCATAGAATCTGGGAGACTTCCTGCTGTGCTGAGCAATATCCCTGTATACCCTTTCAGGAAGCTGATGGACCATGAAGGTCTTAAGGCCTTTGGCAGTCTCTAATGCCCCTTATTTCTTCCTTTCAACTTGCATTAAAGTGAATCTGGATGCAATGGAGTTTATGATGTTAAACCAGTTACCTACAGCTGATGAGCTCCTGGAAGGGCAAAACCAGCTCTGTTCTATTTTAGCAGTTATGAAAATTAAAGACTGATCCTGAAGTACTGTAACAACATCAAAACAATCACTTGTAATTTGAGTACTCTTTTAACAGAAGTTTCTTCTTTTGAAGAAGAGTTCAAAAGAAGAGTTCTCACACTTGGGTGTATGATATTACATTTGCTGCAAGTCTCTCAGGAAAGCATTGCATTTTTTATTAAATTAAAATGGTAATTAACAAAGCTAAAGGCTGGAACATGATATAGCAATAGAGAAAAGGTAATTTAGCAGTGCCATAAGCTTCCCCAAAAAATATGCCAGACTCTTACTTTCAAAGTCCCATTTTCACTTTCTGTATTGTTCCCTTTTAAATGGGAACAAATAGTTTGCTCAGCTACCAACTTCGTTATTATTAACTTCAGCTGATAGTTTTAGTATCTGTGTGTGTACCTTTTTGGGTGCAATATGACTGTAGGTGACACTTAGGAGAACTGACTGAAGGGAGCCTAGTTCATGTATCCAGTTGCTACATATTGGGTGGTTCAGTGGGTGGTTACTGGGCTGTCTATATAAACCTCAGAGTTGATCTATAAAAGAAGCAAGTAGAAACAGACAAGCAACATTCATGAATAAGAAATAATAAGCAGAATTCATAAATAATACAGTTCTACAAATCGATATAGCAGCATCCAGAAAATGAAAGTTATTGCTTGTCTTTTTGTGGATTTTGGGTAAGCAGTGTCCAAAAGAAAGGTGGGGAAGAGAAGTCAAAGACTTTCCCATTAGAGGTATCTTTAAAAACAGTTTTCTCCCTCAGTTAATTGACTTTTCACTCAAGGCACCATTCAAAATGCTCAGAGACAACAAGACTGGCTTTACAGTTTGGGTCATGGGTCTTCAGTTCTTGTTGATATCTTTGCAAATAAACATTTCACCCATAAATAAATATATAATGTAAATATGAACATAGAATTATGACTGACTTAACTAAGCTCTCCTCTTTTAGTTTATTTTGCCTGAAGGTGAAAGTTCATAAATCATCTTGTAACTGAAAATCCTTTTGCAGGCTGCAAATATCTTGAAAACACTTCAAACAAAATTTGAGGGCCTTGTATTGATGTATGAGAATCCTTCTATTCAGCAGAAAGCACTGGCTGCAATTCCCCTCCAGGAATTGAAAAGCAAGGCTCAGAAAAAGCTATCACAAGCTACAAGAGTGGACAAAGGTAAGGCTGCCAAGTTGAAGTGTATATGAAAGTAGAAATGTTTTTTCAAACGTTCCATACATTACTGGTGTATATTTGGTCATGTCTGCAGGTTCCAAATGCTGTTTCTAAATTGGAATTGCCTTCTTCCTAATTTACCACTCCCTTCTCTTACTTTTATTTTGCTTTTGTCATCCATCTTTACTGCTTTTATGTAGAAATTTTTGACTCTTAATTTCTGAATTAATAAAAAAGCTTGAGGGACACAAATGTTGCATTCTTTGAATCTCAGAAATCGAGAATAGCTACAACAGGAGGAGGGGAGCTTCTTGTTCAAGTAGTCATTGTTATGAAATTCTCAGAGTGCAGTTTTCCTGTATGTACTACAATTCTAAATTCAGAATAAATTTTTTAAATACCACTTCTCTTTTTTAAAGTGATATTAATGAGATTCTGAATGAGATTTTTCCAAGATGCAGCCTGATACAAACAAATCATCACTTTCCATCCTAATGCTTAAATGAATAGGGCTATTCCCTATTCCTCATGGAGCTAAATATGAAATGTAGGCATAAATACTTGTGGCATCAGTGTTTAAAATTTATATTTTCTTCATAAATGTGAATTTGTTTTGAATGTATGAAGTATATTTCAGTTAAAATGACATATTTCTATTGTCACGTGATGGTTTTATATTTGTTTCAGTGGTATAATGAAATGTTTCTTCTATAGGATAAATATTTAAAAAAATACAATTCCAAGATCATATTTAAACAACAAAAAAAAAAAATTTTTCACCATGAATCTTTGATGGAAGACTGTTTCAAGCAATTCTGCTGACTTTATAGGAGTGCTGTTGGTTTGCAAACCAAAAAGAATCTCTTCATGTGTTTTTGTATAAATTACTTCGTGGTGTCTCATACAGCCACACAATAATATGTAATTGTGCCTTTAGCATTAAGGAAATTTTTCACAATGAATATTCTTAGTAATTTTTGTTTTTATGAAACTTTATTGGGATGTAAAAAACCATGTGACCAAGTACAAAGCATTCACATTCAGCAGCATGGGACAATACAGTGGGGAAAAGAGATTAGCAGTAATAAATAACAGCTATTAAATTTCTTTATACAGGAAAAGACAAAGAACAAGCCTGCCTCTTAGACTCTGTTCTAATACTACTGCACACCTTGTTTAAAAAGAGGAAGTAAGGGGGAAGATAGTGGTTTGTGTGCTTCTTCCCAAACCATCAGGCTGATTTAGTCCAAATGTCTTTTAGACCTTAATTTAGATACAAATAAAGGGGAAGGGGCGGAATTCCACTGTTTCAGATTGTGACAGCTTGAAAGCATTTTTCAAGAGCATTTGTTTTGGAATGGGCTGTATATGAGAAGTTTGGGTAATTGGCCTTCAGCTTCTTTGGTTTCTGTCCTGCATTAAGATTGCAACCTCTGGGAATAAATACTTAGTGCTAGGGGACACCTGTTTTTAGGATAGGCCTTGCAACACATAATGAGCATTTTTAGCTCATAAACACTATACTAGGAAGATAGGTAATTTGATGAGAATTATAGCTTTGATTTTATTATTTCCCTTGGCCACATTTCATTAGAAAGATAGAGTGAAAAGGCAAAAATAGTTGTGTATCACAGCCAACAGTTTTCTGTTCAAATAAATCACATTTGTAATTTTTTCATATGATGTTTTAATGAAGGAGTTATTTTGCAAATCAAGGGAAGAATGTTTATAGCATAGCTGTCATATTTTTACAAATAAGCTCTAGTTTGAATGTTGTTATCCAGGAAAAGAGAGTATGGCCTGTGCTTGAAATCTTCTCATTCATCTTTTAGCAAAAAGTTTGAATATACAAAGCATATCCATTTTGTAAGCAGTAAGCCTTTCTCTGAGTGTTCCAGCATCCACATACATGAGTAAAAATGGGGATTTTACTATAATTAGAAGTCAGGTATTCTTGCTTTAATTAACAGATGATCTCTTCCCATACACTTCATGCTCTTGGCAATATGCGTTTAATGATGTTAGTGCTACTACAGAGCTTTTTGTACCGAGGATGGGTATAGCTTCAGAGCAAGATGTGAAATGATCTTAAACACTCATCTTAGGTTTATTTTTCACAATCCTGAAAAAGGCGCTAGTGCATAAATTTTTAGTGCAACTGCCTTTGATTTCCTTTAAGCAGCATTTTTACATATTTATTTTATATGTTAATATTCATTAGTCGAACCTGTCTGCACTGTGACTGCGCTAAAGCTGTAGTGCATAAAAATAATCAGGCAGTAATACCTATGATTGCACTGTGGCCTAGGTGATAAAGTTATTACAAAGAATTATTTTAATATTTATGTATCTGAGAAGGAAGAGTATCTCTCTGCACATTGTAACAGAATGTGCATTTAAAGTTTCTAAGGAGTTTAAAGAAATGGATCTTTCTTGAAAAGCTGGATTTTTAGAATTGTTTTTTAGGTAAAATGGGGCTATTTCCAGGTGTCAAAACAGTGTGAATATGTAAGTAGATTCTAACTCCTGTTGTAAGCAGGAAAATGGGCCAGAAGAGTCTGGTGTGGTGAAATCAGCTAGAGTAGAAAACAAAAGACATCCTGGGTCTGTCTTGGGTAAGCTGAGAAAAGTGTTTATTTGCTGAAATTAGAACAAGCTCAACATGTTTGCATGGTATATACATATTTTCTACAATAACTAAGCTGTATTTGTAGAAGGTTTGTTTATAGAAAGCCTATACACCTGGTTGTTTAGATTGCTGCCAGTGTCTGGTTCTTTGGTATTTTGAAATCAAAGCAGTTGTTATTCCTATGAATAGGAGAATATTTTGGAGCAGAAAAATAACTCTCTATTCCAAAGTCCTGGAAGAGTATGAAGGACATCAGGAACTTCACCAGGCTGAAATGTAAATCTGACTTATTTTTCTGAGCAACTTCTTATTCTCATTTCAGCTGTAGTATTTAGTACTGCAGTTTTTTGTTCTTAAGTTTGAAATTAGTCTTGACAATTTAGATTGTCTTTTTTGTATGTGTTTAAGTAATATACAAAGCTTTTGAATACAGATTTTATATTTAAAAGTACATAGAAATATATGAAGGCCCAGAAATGCTAATTTGCATAGACACTATCAAGTTCAACTAAATTATTTCTCCATTTGAACTGTGTGTTGTATAAATTATACAGGTGCACATGTGAATGAAGAGGACTTCTTATTGTTGGAGCTTTTGGACTGGTTTAAGACTTCCTTTTTTCATTGGGTAAATAGTCTTCCTTGCAGCCGGTGTGGTGGGCAGACAGAGCCTAAAAGTGACTACCTGTTGCCTACTGATGATGATCTAAGGTGGGATGCCAGTCGAGTAGAAAACCATTACTGCAATCAGTGTCAGCTCTGTAATAGATTCCCAAGGTGAGCATACAGAAACTTGCTGTCTTTTTTCTTTCAAGAAACAGCTTTGAATTTGTGCATTTTGTGAACAGGTGCGAAGTTTTTCATTCAGAGATTAGAGAAGCTGTTTTATGTAACATGATAGAATGTTTGATGAACCAGCAATTTCTCTAAAAGGTCAGATTTTTTAAGACAATCTGTGCTTTCTCTTATGTGGACTTGTTCTGAATACTTACCTGGCTTGTTTGGGGGATTTTTAATGTTAATTTGATGAATGACAACTTCTAAAATAAAACGTTAATATTGGCAACCATATGTAGGTAGTGTTTTGTTATTGCAGGGAAAACTTCACTTCTGCAGGGAATCACAGTGTAATGTACATCTTTTGCTGAGTCTATAGCAGAAGAGGAAATATATAATTTATATATACTTTTGTGACATTTAGACATTTTGCTAACTTTTTAAGGACCAGCATAAAAATCATATTTTAAGATGGCTAAATCAATTATGAAAACTTAACCAGATTAATTTCAGTGCTGCTATAAATATATGATGGAGTCATGTAAGTTGAGGTAGCATTCTGCTCAGATGTATTATGTGCAGTACAGCAATTTTTCCATTATCTTCTGTGGACTGATTGATACTGGAAGTCTGTTCAGATCATCAGAACACAATGTAAAGACTTCTGAAAGGTGAAATCAATTGTTCTTGTTTTGTGTTGTTTTTTTCCTATAGGTATAACAGCCCTGAAAAACTTCTGGAAACCAGACGTGGACGCTGTGGTGAATGGGCCAACTGTTTTACACTGTGCTGCAGAGCTGTAGGGTTTGAAGCAAGATACGTCTGGGACCATACAGGTATCAGTATTCTGGAGTATTGTAACATTAATACAAACCTGTGCAAAAGTAGGTTATGTGTTTTATGTCTCTCAGATCATATTAGCTATCAGGCAGCACATGTAGTTATGCAGTCAGTTGACAAAGACAATATACATTCAATTTCCTGTCTTGCCTGATGAGATGAAATACAGTTCTGCAAATAAGGTTAGATGACTGACATCAGAATGATACAATCTTTAGCTGAATGTAAGGGACTGTGATCCTAAGAAAGAGTAAGCTTTGGTAATGTTTCTATATGTAGATGAATAGAAAACATGTTCTTTCACCTGTTCCTTCATCTAATAAATTGGAAAAAGTTCCAATATTCTGCAAGATTAGAGGCTCTATCTTTATAAGTCATTGTTTATTCTTGGCCTTTGTTACATAGATCATGTGTGGACTGAAGTATATTCTTCATCTCAGAAACGATGGCTTCACTGTGATCCTTGTGAAAATGTCTGTGATAAGCCTCTTCTTTATGAAACTGGCTGGGGAAAGAAGCTCTCCTACATAATTGCATTCTCCAAAGATGAGGTAGGAGTTATGATGCTAATAAACAAACTTGCCCTGAAGCAAGTGTGCAATGGTATTCCACCTTGGTGTGATTTTCAGAATTATTGTAGAAAAGCATGCTTTCATTAACTAGCCTCTTTAAATGAAGCAAGATATGTGGAAATTTTTGGCTGCTTTATTTTCTTCTGCTTATGCTTGAGGTTGTTGATGTCACCTGGAGATACAGCTGTAAACATGAAGAAGTACTCTCTAGAAGGACAGCACTCAGTGAAGCTACGCTGCGAGAGACAATTAATGCACTAAATAGAATGGTATGTAACTTTTCTTCAGTGGGTTTCTGAGAGTGAAACACAAGTATCTGCAGAATATGAAGTCCTCAAAGGAATGCATTTGGTAATCTCATAGGAATATTCATGCACTATGGATTTCAAAAATGCTGTTAATTAACCATTTTACCCTGAATACATAGAAATCAGTCGCAGTGCTGAACTTGTGGGAAATAAGATAAATAATGGTATGTAAGAGTATTATATTATCTCTTATATGCACAGATGTGTGTGTAAGTATTGTTTCTCTTAGGGACTTTGGAGCAGACTTATACTTGCTGGGAATAAACTGCAACTCCTTAGTAACTATGTGGACTCCTTCAGGGTGACTGTACATTTTCCACATCAGTGCTGCTATAACTTGAAAACAGTAGCATTTATGTTGTAAGAAAAGCAGGTTTAATTTGCTTTCAGTGACTTTTTGCAAGCTCTATGAAGTGAGAGGAATGATTCATGGGCTGTTTCCAAGACTTCCAAAAGCTGTTGATACCATCAACAGAGCTTTGTCTCAGAGCCATGTGTATTTACACTGTTCATGCTTAACATCCCCAAAATATATGGAGCCATTTGCACCTGCACGTCATGGTTGCAGAACTTCTCTGCTAAGCTTTTTCCACTCCCTACTTGGGACACCAGGAACTTGATTCAATATACTAGAGTATCATAAAACCTTGAACTACCTTGAGGTTTGCATTTTTTCCTCCCTTTCTTACAGGGCTAATTCCCACGCATGGAAACTTTAGTTCCAGTGATAGTATACAACTGATGACTTAAAAAACAGATTATGCCTTTTTTGAGACCTGTTGGCTTGAGAGTTATAGCCATACATTAAGACTGTAAAGAATTTCAAGACCAGGGCTTGAAATAATTTTAACAGTAATGAAAAATTAGAGTCGCAGAGCAGAGCACTGAGAACAGTAACCAGAGCATCAAAGTGCTTAAAGGAAATTGTGGATTGGTGTTATTAATTTAGAGTAAACCATATCAAACTTCCTCTGAGCTGGAGCAAGATCAGTAGTGCTGCATAGGGATATCCTAAGTGTCAGGGCAACTGTTAGACCCAGGAAGGCCTGATGTTTCATGGAAAACTGCTGCAACCACTGGTTGTTACCCATCAACACAAGTAGAGGTATGTATCCCCCACTTGCTGTGTTAGAACTGGTATTTGGCATCTAGAATTTGTTCAGCTTGAGCTGTTTCTCATAATTTCTCTCTATCTACTTTCCTTTATACAGTTCCACATTGTTGTCTGGAGCAAAAAAGTCTTCAAATGTTTCTTCTGCAATCTCTAGTAGCAAAACTTGCTGTGGTCAGAACTGCTTTTGAGATATGAAAATGCTTATCAGCCTCAAGTTTCAGGTCCCAGTGGGCTGAGTGTGCATGCCTTGGGTGATCCCCAAAGCAGAAAACAAGATCATGTGTGTAATAATTTACATACTCAATGTTGAACTTTTTTCAGCCCCCATATGGGTTTATCCGCACTTAAAAAACTAAAAGGCTTCACATTCCAGATTTGTATATTTGATCTGAAAATCATGTAGACAAAATACTAACATCTCAATAAATTTTTTAAAAGTTGTTTACCAAAAAAATTGCTCATCGATCTATTCATGTAGGAAATAAGACATGTAATTGTTTTTATTTTTCACTAATTTTTCTGGAACTAAGTTTTTCTAAATTTTCTGACATCTGAAAAATAGAAATGTCATGGTTTGTTTATGACAGAATCAGGGAAATAACTCTTTGAAAGACTTTTGTTTGGGCTTAATCAGAAAACCAAAGCTTTTGCCAACCAAGTCACTCCATCTTAGAGAAGAAAAATTTGACCACAAATGATTCTTGCCTTCTCTTTCCTCCAAATAATATTGAGTACAGCTATAGTACATCATACATATGAATAGCTATAAAAATGGTTATGGAAGTGTTTTATCGTCCAAATAAATGTATTAAAAACAAAACACAAACATTATTTTAAAAGAATTCCACACAGTGCCTGCAAGTTTCTAGAGAAAGCACTGCTGTCACATAACTGTGCACTTATGACTGGTTTGTATTTGTGGTATAAGATTAATGTTTCTAATAATCAGTCTAGACTTTAAATGTTAATCTGTTTTTTCAATTCTATTTTTCCCTGTTGGTGTCACTCTAGAGCAGAATTACAAATACCATTTTTTTCTGAATGTTTTCTTTTTTCCTAAATGTCTTTTTTCAGAGACAAAAGTCTTTGTCAGAAAATAGAAAAAGAGAGCTCCTGGAAAGGACTATTGTGGAGCTTGTTGAGTTTATTTCTCCTAAAACACCTAAACCTGGAGAATATGGTGGAAGAACATCAGGCTCAATGGCTTGGCGAGTAGCCAGAGGTGAAATTGGTCCAGAGGTATTTAACTTTTGGTTGGTGGTTAACTTTTGGTAGATGGTCTAAGATGATCATCTTAGAGGTAGCTAACTAAGGTGTTGTGATTATGGTCTAAAAAAAAAAATAACACTTCATGGTAGATAGCCAGATTCAACTCTAAAAAGTGAATCTTGTGAAAACATTAGCTGAATGTTTGATTTGAATTCAGTAGAGGTCCACAAGTAATTTTTGAGAATTGATGGTGGTCTATTGATTTGAATAATGTTTGTGAATTCTTGATATAAAGTGTGTTTTTTTCTTAAAAGTTAAAAATTATGTAAATATTAAATTACATTTAAAGTATGTAGTTTGACAGAGGTAGAAAGTTTAAGTTAGTGTAAAAAACTGGGAAAACTGTAAAAAATTTTTGTATTTGTATTATTAGTTACATCTAGGTTTTAACCAATAGTAGGTTTTTGCCAACTATTTTTTTAAATAATACGCTAGCTTGATTTTCACATCAGTATTTTTTTACTGTTTCCAAAAGCAAGGCTTGGCTTTTATGCTAAGATACAGTTTCCCAGAACCATAATAATATTTAGTTTGAGTCAGGATGCAAAGATGTCACCTCAATTTTGTAGCAATCCCATCAGGTGGAATGTCTAACTGTCCTAAACAGAAACAGTTAAGTGAAATTAATTATTTTCTTAAGATTGTCTAAGTTTGAGAAACTAATAGTTATTGCACTCCTCTGTTTTTTGGAAGACTTAATTTCTGATACTCCTAAGAACAATGACTTTTTAAAAAAAAGTAATACTGTGAAGTTACAAAATTTATACTTTTAAGTTTTTTAAGTTGATTTTTTTTAAGTTGATTTGTAAACTGCATACACGAGCACCTGTATATGGTAGTCACAGGTTTGCTATTCAAAATAACCTTTTACTTATTCAGTGTACAATGTACTCAACATATTAGTTTTCTGTCATGAAACTCTAATTTCTTACTTAAATGATACTACTTCATGTTAGTTTGTTAAAAAATTACTTCTAAAAGTAATTATATGAAAGTTTTAAAAATAAAATTACTCCTTCCCTCTGGATAAGTCGCAAGTATGCTGTAAGAAATGGGGTTAAAACTTGTCTTCTGCAGAAATGGTTTTGTACATGACCTCTCTTAAAAAGGACCTTTTTTTCACTTGGCAGCAAAACTGAATTGCAAAACTGTGACATACTGTTTAAAAGTAATGTAGTCTTGAGGGAATTTAGGCATTGGGGAATGAAGGTGCTTGTATGTTTTGGCTTTTTCAGAAAAGAAAAGAAGTAGTTTTTATTCCCTCTGAAAAGGAGAAGACGTGTAAACTGTTCCATCTCGTCTACAATGTAATAGATGATAGTTATACACGGATTTCCAATAACAACGAAAAAATAAGTGGCTGGGAAGCAGGTGTTTGGAAGGCAGAATCTATTTGGAGAAAGGTTGAAACAGATTGGAAAATGGTAAGAATAGGAATTATTTAAAGCTTGTAATGTACAGTAAAATTATGATAACTCCAGTAAAACAGAAAACCCTTGCCAGTGTTTGGATTCAAAACCTCTCGGTGCCCATAGAATTTAGCTGATGTTAGTAAATGCTGCTGTTAAAATTCAGTAAGATTGCCAAATGGTACAAGAAATTAGAAATAAATTTAACTTGTCTTTCAGAAAGGATGATTGAACTCTCTGCAGGTAGGTAAAATCCTTGCCAGAATGCCAGATTTGTAAAATGGCTTCCTTCTTAGGCTTCTGGGAGAATGCTGTGTTATTGAAAAGCAGTACTTCTCTCGAAATAAAACAAAGTATTTGTTGTTTTTAAGAATAGTTTTATAGTGTATTATATCTCTCAGCAGCACAACAGTCATTGGCTCTAAATTGAAGAAGAGAATTGCTACCTCTGACGTGGGAAGGGGTCATATACTAGCAAACAGCTTTTCCTGCAACAGCAACCAACTATGGAACTGAACATTCTTGTCAGGGACTAGAGCATGTTACTGCTTTTTTCCTCTGTCATTTTACTACTTTGAAGGGTCTTTGACCAAATACTCTTCTAGCTTCCCGTTGATGAAAATGGTACCTGCCTCTTGAGATTTTTCTCTCCTGGGTCTGTACATAACTGACTTGCAAAATGCAGTGGGGGAATTACATAAAAAGGTTGTGCTGCCCTAAAGAGAAAGAATAAGGAAAGAAATGGGAGGATAGTATGAAAGATACCACAACAGGATAGACTTAATATAGTAAAAGAGAAGTAAGAAAAATATCAGAGTAAGGAGCAGGTGTTCTCTCCTTCCCCAGGATCTGCTAAACATCTGATAGTACATTGTTTGTAATTCTGCAATGATCAGTCATCCTCACTTTTGCAAGAAACATGTTGTCCTTGCACTGAAACTAAACTACAATTTTTGTCAGCTCTTGTAATCAGATAAGACAGGGTGGGACTAATCTGTAAGACCAGGCAAAAAGACTTTACCCTTGTATTCAGTAGCACCTCAAAAGGATGGGATTATGGCATTAAGAAATTAGGAGCTATGCCTCCAGGTCTCTCTCATGCTTGTGGCTGAGGCATGTTAGTTCTGCAGGAATTGCATCCTGCAGAAAGTATGTAAGAATCTTAGAATTCAAAATCACTTTCTATTTGGTGTTGTTTGTATAATGGGAGATAATGGCAGAGAGAAAGGTTGTTTGGGGTTTGCTTGTTCTTTTTGTACAAGATGCAGCTTTGGAGCTTGATTCAGCAGCTGTCCAAGAACTTAAAAGCCAAAGGAACCTTTACAGTAATACTTGGTTAACATTTATTACGTGATGAATGGAAAGGCATTTAAATCTAAAAGCCACAGAAAATGTATCTGTAAGTATTAGATGAAGAGTAACAGAAAATAACCACTTGGTTTTATAGTACACAAGGCAAACAGGTACAAACCACAAATTCTGTCAGATGACCCAGAAATAACCTGGAATCCAGGACTCAAACTGGCAAACTGCAGTAGGTGATAATAATAGTGTAAGACCTATAGATCTGAAATCCATGGATTGTGAAAGGTTTGTTTTCCAGAAGAATTGCTGCAGTGGAAGAGAATTTAATGAGTTGGATGGTTGTTTTTTTCTTTGGAATTCAGACATTTTTTTTCAAATAATACTAGAAACAAAACAACCAAGTTTGAAAGTTAGAGGAAAGTCAAAAATACACAAAATAAAACTTGAAATTCTTTTTTCTGATTAAATCCTAGGATATTATAATGAAAGATGAAATAGACTAATGTTTGAGGGTTTTCTAGCCTTCAAAACTATGTTTAGTGCATTTTGACCAAGTAGTATTTAATGGGATGTTTTGACCTTTTTACTAAAATTCAGCAGTTCAGTAGGATCTGATCAAGGGAAAGCTCTTGCTAGAACCAGCTGAGATACTTAAAAAATATTTGGAGTTCAGCACCTTAATGAACATTAGGATTACATTCACAGCTTAAATCATTACATTTTCATAGGTGATCTTCAGTGTAAGACCTCACACCTTTAGGGGTTTTGAGCTTCCTTCAATGTGAAAATAGTAACACTAAAACTGTTTAATGGTCTGTCAATTACATTTCTATATACATTTCTGTCTATACATTTCTATTCTCACCCTAGTGAGATCTTTAGTAAAATGAACTACTGTGTTTTATTATAATTTTATTCTGGTTTGTTCTCTCAAGATTAAAAAATAAAGAGTTGACTAAATCCACTCAGTATGATAGTACTCAGAAGCTTGGACATGACAGAATTTTTATTAATTTAGGATTCCAAAAGGATCATGGTAATTTGGACTCTTTAAACTGTAGTGTCTGTTCTTTAGGATTGCTGATGATAGATGTTGGACTTGAAAGAATTGGCAGGCACTTGTGACCAAATTTTTGAGAGGGTTCATAGTAACTTTAATGAATGTTAATATGTGAGCGTGACTGTTCAGCTAGGTGAAGTTCAGGACAGCATTGGGACTAAATTAAATTATACAAAGTGGTAACAGTTAAAATAATGTCAATATGGAATTTATAAATGGCTGACATGTATGATTTGCTTGAACTGAGCCACATCAGATCCTAGGAGAAGCAGTGTGCAGCCATAGCTGAAAAAGCTACTGATTGCACAGTTCTTTTCTTCAACAATACTGAACAACTGAAGTGTTATGTGCATTTAAAAAGACCTCGATTTCTCCTTCTTTAAAAAGTAATAAGCTTAGGGGATTTTGTGGCTTGAACTTTACTATGGCTGTTGAAATAGCTTAGTGTTCCCTGGCTAGGGAACGTGTGAGCATGTCCAATTACCTAATTGTGGAATATACCTGGGGATGAAGAAAGAGGTTTTTTATGTAAAATTTTACTTTGCACCGTTTTAAAGATTCAGGGGCTTGACAAAGAATGAAAGTGTGTAATCCTAAGATTTTTATGTCCTTTTTAAGATAATTAATTTGATGTGTGTTGGTTGTCTCAGTTTTTGACATGGTGGTTGTGTCTTCTTTCCATGTAGGTTTATTTAGCCCGAAAAGAAGGGTCATCCTCTGCTTCCATCAGCTGGAAGTTTGAGTGCAAGTCAGTCGGTCTAAAAATAGCTAACATTTCAGTTAGGACAAGCAGTCAAACATTTCAGAGTGGAAGAATACAGTGGAGACTTCGCTCTCCTACAACAGAAATTGCTCTGATAGGAGGTAAGTGTGGAATTTAAATAATGAATTATATCATGTAGCAGAGATGTTACTGGAAATAAATAGTTTATATGGAGAGAGTACTATGCAAACACTAAAAACAAAATATGAATATTCTTTACTTTTCCAACAGCATTTCTCAGCAAGGTCAAGAAAATACTGTCCATTTTAATTAAAGCTGGTACAAAACTCAGTTTTATTAATATACACAGCCCTACCTGCAAAAGAGCAGGGCAAGCAAGAACACAGAGTGAATACAAAATACTTGTATATTACAAGGATTGATGCCTCTATGTCTAGTGGCAAATGAGTCTGAGTAGTTGCAACTGAGATCATTAAACATCCATTACAGCTTAGCATTTTTAATGTGCATTCTATTATTATATACTGTCTGGAGCTGTGCCTTACTGGATTATCTATATTTTCCTCCAATAGATAAAAGTCTTAGCTCCTATTCAGATTTTTCTGGAGCAACGGAAGTTATGTTGGAAGCAGTTCTAAATGGAGGGGATGGTGAAGCTGCATGGCAACACACACAGCTGTTTAGAGAGAGCTTAACAGGAGGTGGGGAAAATTGCTTGGAGATAATTATAAAACTCAGTGACCTCTGAGAATCTGAACTGCAGAAATGTACTTTGGATTCCTTGAAGACATTATACCATGGATACAGCATGAAGATTTGGTTGGCAATTCCTCTTCATCCTGCTGGCAGATTATTTCCTCTTTCACTGCTTCCATTAAACCAACTTGAAACTGCACATGTATTGAATAGGTAAACATTACAATGAAAACCTCTTTGCTATGAAATCCTCTTTGCTATAAAAACAAACAGAAAAGTTAAGGGGTTGAACCACAAAGTACCATTTTCTTAAACTTTACAATAAAAAGGAAACAATTTTTAGGAAGCAAAACATGATCATAGAAGCACAAAGCAATTGTAATTGATTTTAACTTGGAGTTTTGGGATTGGCTTGCTGGTTTATTGGGGGTTTTTATAATCTACTTGGAAAAATAGTTTGAATTATGTTTTCCAATTATAACAAATGCTTCTGATGATTTTAAAATATTTTAAACAATATTAGAGGATTTAGACATTTTTTAAAAAATTTGATTTTATGTAGTATTCAGAAGTGCTGAAATTAAGTTAAATTCAATATTGCATCCTTGTTAGATGTCTAAGTATTAAACCTGTGTTTAATACCTAGAACTATTTGGAAGCATGATGGTTGCTGGGAAACTAACCTCATTTTGAAGGAAATGTTCATTATGTACTTCAATTGTTATGATCTATGATACAAAATAGAGGGTTAAAACTGAGTAAGAACATCGTATTTTTTTCTATGAAAAATAGGTTATTCATTATAAATACTTTTTGATGATATTAATTTAGATTTGCTTAATAAATCTTTTAAAAGTTAAGCATGTAGGTTGAAATCCTTTTAAGCTGTTGTCTTGGCTTGCTTTAAATACTATTCCCAAATTTGATGTTAAAGAATATATTTTTTTTCTGTTCAATTAATTCAGTGTTTAAATTTATTTTCAGTCAATATAAAAAATACTATCCAGGAGACATCAGATGTTGCAGTGCTATGAATAAAACATGGAGTGAATGTTCAGATTAAATAGTCTTTATCAGAATGTGAGGAAGGCCTTGCCTGGATTATACAAGAGATATTCTATTATAGAACTAAAATGAAAAGTTCAAACTATGGTTTTATTTTAAAAGAAGTGAGAATTAAGGATGATGTTCTCAAGATCAGTGTTTTTAAAGTTTTTCTTCCTTTCTTCTGAACTTTCCAGCCTCTGTATTGATTCGAAGCATTTGTCAAAAATCATTTATGTTGAAATAAATGTTTGCTGACCTTTCAACAAATCTAAGCAAATATAAAGCTATTCATATTTTATTAGAAAACTGCATATGCACAGTGAACAAAGGAATCTTAAAAAATAGTAGATTATAGCAGCTCAGAAGTGACAGAACAATGTGTGATGGATTATATACTTCAGAATCTAAATGAGCATTTTATGAGGGGAATTAGAAGAATCTCCCCCCTCGTAATACAGATTAATACAGGGACAGGGTACTTACTGTATTGTGCACACTGGGAGGGAAGAGTACACACTGGAAGGGTCTTTATCAATGCTTGACTAATTCAAAGTGAATTCACCAGTCTCTGTTTAAAATTACTTCTGTATTTGGTTTCAGTTAACACTTTTTCTGAGGTTTTGAGTGGGAGCCCAACAGAAGAGTATTTTAGACTAATATGTGTACTACATTGGAAGAGAAAAGGGAAGACAACTCAGGTGCCACCAATCAACAAGTGTTTCTACTTAATATTTTGATAGCTGAAAAAGTTACTACTTTAAATCAGAAATTGTTTTTGCAATGTATTACTTAGAGGACCTTGAGGACTTGGAGAATTTCTTAACTGCATCTGATAATATGAAATCAGGCAAAATATATTTTAAAGTAGTAAGACAAAATAATTTTCTCATAATTTTGGTCAGAATCCTGGGGAAGAGTAATAGCTGCAGATAACTTAAAACAGTAAAGTAGTCGAAGTCCATTTTTAAAAAGTTTGAATTAAAAAGATGGAAAAATGACTTGACAGTCGAATGAATCAAAAAGTACTTCTGTATTTATAAAATCACATTCAATTAATAGAAGTGCTTATATTAGGAAATAATAAGTAAAACACTCAGGCTTAATAGAGCTAATGTGAAAAATTTAAAAGGAACTCCTTCAGTTGTCTTTTGGAGTATCCTATAAGCAGTGAACACTTTGAATCTTCACACATAAGCTGTTTTAAAGGCATTAATTTCCTCTGTTATCTCCATTTCAGCCCAACTCTTCATTAATTTTAATTTATTTTTTTTTTTAACCAGAGGTAATTCCTCATCCACAGTTGTTTAATATTAACTTACAGTATCTTGAATTTGCAATATTACATGGTGGGAAGATCTCTGCTGCTCTAAGTCTGCTCTAAAAGTATGGTTATTAAGTTATGCTAGCAATGGTACAATACTGGGTGAGTGGTAGATGTTGATCAGGGCACATGTCAGAAGTCAGTGCTTACTCAACTTTTTAGAAGTTTGAGGAGGTGGAGATTAAATGGGGAAATTTAAAATACTGTTGCCTAGGAAAGTATGGCTTAATACAGGTAAAATCAGCATGTTTTCTAGAATCCAGTTTAGGTGCATTTTAAAGAATGACTGGCTGTGCCATCTGTGACTGCCTTCCAAGGCTGCACTGAGTTGTAACAGTGAAATCTTTTCCATTAAAAGTTTGCATAAATACTATACTACCCAGTTAATGCTTGCAAACTATTTTTGGGGTGTATGGTTTCCAACAGAACTATGTGGGAGCCTGTGCACAGAATTCCTCCTTTCAAACAAGTATTTGTTGTACTGTTGTCTGTATAGAGTTGATCGTCCATCTGTTGATTTCTTCATATCCTGTTTTGACACTTAATGCTTAGTAATTTCCTACACCCCAGGAAGTTGCTGGGAAGATGTATCCTTAAAATATATGAAGGAAGCCCCTTCTAGGCAGTGGAGAAAGAAAGAAAAGGTACAGATTTCACAGATTTTTTTACAGATTTTCCTGCACAGCTATGCAGGAGTCAAACAAACTTTGGTGTAAATTATATAACTTAAAATGAGAAGCAAGTAGTGAAAATTACCTGATCTTGTAAGAAAATCTGTCACCTTAATTAATCTGTTAACACTAGAATATTTTTCACATTTAGTAGGTTGGATTTAAGATATAATCCTTATTATGTGCAACATCAGGAAATGTAGAAGACTAAAAATACAGTGTGTTTGTCTCCATAGTGCGGTGGAATGAAAACAGCAGGCAGCACATATGGCTGCCAGAAGCTGGGAACACCCATTTGCAGAGTTCTTGCAGCTCTAAACATAACAAGCCAAAACAAAGGAACTCCAAGAGGGGCAGAGATTGTTCCAGGCAGATACCAGGATGTCTCTTTGCCACACCCACACTCCTCATTTCTTTATCTTTGGTTGCTCAAACGAGCAATGGAAGTAAGCTATAAGTCAATTTAAAAGACCTCACTAGTGTATCAAAACTTAGCATTTCTTAAGTATAGGCATTATTTAAAGTGAATCTCTAATTTCCAATGTATGTTAAAGCCTCTGGGTTTGGACAAAACTGTTGTCCAAGCAATTCAACACCATAAAAAAAGGGTCAATATTGAAGGGACTTCTGTATCTCAGCTTCATATCATATGGAAGGTTGAGAAGGAAATTGCAGACAAGTACCTTCCTTAAACGCAGTTGCTGGAATAGACTTAGGTCCGTTCTGTACTTTGAGTATTTTTGGGGGAACTTATTCAACATTATTTGCAGTAGTTCAGCTTACCTGGTGCTGGTTCTGAAGGTTCTTTACAGGGTACTGCTGTTGCAAGCAATGCTTTATGCCTTGTGCCTTATGGCCTGTGTAAACAGTAATCAGCGATGTAATGTATATTATGTGTACCTATATGATCACTGGTCATATAGTTGTCAACATGAGCAGAAAGGAAGAGTAATTACAGTAATACCAGGGATAATTTGGGTTTTTAATGCTAATCTTGGATATTTAATCCAAGCAGAAGGACACTAGAGTAAAAAAAAAAAAAAAAAAAAAANCTTTAGTAGATTGAAACAGCTCCTTCTTTACTTAAGTTTTTAATTTCAGGAGCAGAATTTTGAGACTTCTCAGCCTATATTATGGAATTTAGGAATAACCAATTAACAAGCCAAGGTCAAATATATGTATTTTAAGTGTACAGGTGTTATGAAATGTGTAAAGGCTTAAATGTGATTGTGAAAAAGATAACAATGATTTTTTCCATCGTTAAGGCTTATGTTCTTATTCTTGGGCTTGGGGGTTGTTTCATGGTAAACCTTGTAATTAGGCTTTAGCTTTGTTTATTATTAGCCTGCTTCAGTTTCTTCAGCTTTATTTTTTCTCATCTAGCTTAAAATACATTTTAATTTAATTTATGTACACAGTTGTAGCTGTATGGTAAATACAGTATGACAATAAATAAGTTGATTTATTTATTTGTTTGGTAAAAGGAGATGAAAGATAGCTTTTTTTAATCTTAAAAATATTCAAACTCAGCAGAAAAAAAAAAAAACAAAACAATAGTAATTAAAATTGATGATGCCCAGAAACCAACAAAGTTACCAGGACTTAATAAAATTTTATGGCGAAAGAAAATGTAATGGACTACATAAACTGATGCTGGCAGAAGTAGCTTCCAATGACTGACCTTGGTTTTGAGACATTTTACTGTGTGTTTATTTATATGTAGGTCCCTGAAAGTTTTCAGTAGAAGAAAATTGCTGAGACTGGTGAACAGGTTTTTTTTATAAATCTGTCTGAGATTTAAGGAATATCTGAGTTTAAATATTTTTTATTTTTACTAGTTTAAACTATAGAAATAATTCTAGAATTAAGAACAGGATCCCACTTGTTATAGATAATTCCTTCCTTTATTCCAGTCAATAATCTAGATCTTTGATTTTGGAAGAAGTGTGTTTAGTGACATGTTATAACCAAGAACTAGGTCTGCATTACCTGTAAGGATGTGAGATTTCAGTGTGGCATTAAGCACCTGCTTAGACTTGAAGGACTGAATCTCCTGTTCAAGGTCTTACAAACTGGGGGGAAAGATGATTTCACTATGCATGTCAATGGTGATGTTTCAGTGTATATTCTGTTAACTTGATCCTTTTATTCCATAATGCTGAGTGTTATTTCGTATCCTTGGAACTTCAGTAATATAGTGTATTATCCTTGAAGTCCCAGGAGAACATATTTTCCCCACTGAAAATCATCAACTAGCAGCTTATCACTGTTGTAATCAAGAGGAAATGCTGCACTTACTTTAGGTGAGCATTTTGGATAACAATATACAGACTGCCCTGTGGAACAGTCATAAGGAAACCAGCTGATGTAAGAGAATGAAGACATATGAGAGCAGTTTAAGCAAGCTCAAACTAAAGTAGGTGGAACAGTTGGTCACAAGCTCTTAGAGCAAATGGAGCAGCAAAGTACAGAATGGAAGGAGAGAGCCTCACTTCTCGCCTCTGCATTATTACCACTGTGAAGAGAAGGATGGAAGGTAATCAAATGTATGTATGTCCATGCTTGCATTGTATCAGAAGTCAAAATAACATAGTTAAGCTGCAGCAGCTTTTGCTTTTAGCCAGAGTGCCAGGGAAATGAATGGTATATTAAAAAGCAAAGTTCACTACTAGCAAAAAGGATGTAAAACTTTATTGGCCAAAAAGGAAGTGCCTGGTTTTGGACTGCATTAAGAATTGTAGTGCTGTCATGATTTGGTTTAGTATCACGCATGCCTAAAACTGGTTTTGATTTTTATTTTCTTTTGTTAGGTTGTGTGGGTTGGAGTTTCTGCCTGAGTATGCTAACTGATTTCCATGATGTTGGCAATAATGGTTTAAAAGAAAACAGTCCCATTTTCCCCCTCCCTCCCCCACCAAAAAAAACCCCTAAAAACATTCAAAATAAAAACTAAAACCACCCCCGCTAAGAATGTAGGAACACAAACAGGAAGTGTTAGAAGCTGCAGCTTAATTTTAACACCAGAAGGATGGAAAAAAGATAACGCTGATTAACGAATGTCAAATTTACATAATTTGGGGGGTTGTTTAGATAAGCTGATTGTTTCCTTTTTTTTTAATAAATAAATATTTTTGAAAGGAATTTGTATCATCATGGAGCCTTTCAAAACAGAAAATTAGGAAGTTCTTGCCTAAGTGTCAATACTATGCATGATCTGCTTTTATAAATTATATTATTAATCATATCAATTCTTCCTCTACACTTCAAAGTCTGTCTTTGATAATGGTATTTTTAAACTTCAAATACATTTGATATTTTTTTTTGTAAGGGTGAAACCCCAAAGTTCATATTCAGTGCAACAGGCATGGTAATTTTTCTTGACTGTGCACTCTATATGCTCTGCAACTTCACTTTTTAACTTTATTTCACATTTTAAGGCTTGCTAGTAATTAATATTTGTACATCATTTTATTGATTTATAAAAACCAAAACTGATTGACAGATATGAAGGAATGGGCTTTCAACCAGATACAACGTAAGAATAGCTTTCTGAAGACAGAGACTTACATGCATTTCTGGCCCACAGAAATAAAATCTGTGATAGGAAACAGACTAAGAAACATTTGCCAGAATACACTTACCTTTTGTACTTTTGATTTCATTTATTTCACATGCAGGACTGATTACCAATCATGTGAGGAAATTCAACCATTTGTAAGTATTCAGTGAAAAACACAAAGTCCATTTGTGAACAGAGCATGGAGGCAACATGTATGCCAGTGAAAGAGTGGCTGAAAGGTTTTGGATGTAGAAAAAAATAATTTCTAAAGATCATGAAATTTACTGGCGATAACCAGATTATTGGCGATAACCAATTCAGTGGAAATCAACTAGACCCTATTCTGTTTCAAGGATTGAATGTTAAATCCATTACCGGGGAATATTTTTTTGAAAAAGTTGTATGGAAGGGACACTCTGGTCGTGTAGTGTTTGTGAGTGGAGCAGGAGTTGCTACAAGCAGAAGTGGTCGGTGGATTTTGTGTTTAACACACATTAGAATGAGAAAGCCAGGACTAGCACTACATATTAGCATTATCTATATTAGTGGTGAGATGGAGTGATTTTGCAGTGAAGTGTAAGCAGATGTTTTGTCCATCTTTTGGAAGATTCCTTTGTTTAACGTGATATCAGCTGTCTCCTGGGATAACCCTCACTGTTGTCTTCACTCTTAAAAGCCCTTCCAAATTTCCCTTTTTATAAACTAGTGGTTTTTCATTGTTTGAAGCAGTGTCTGCAGTGGTGATCAAGGCAACTTCCCAGTGACTCATAGGTAACATCTGGAGGCTTCTGCACTATCTCTGGATTCTGTCCTTTTCTCTCTTCCCTGGTGTACCACAGCATGGTAGCCCAACCCCATAGAGCCTCTATGTATTCTCTAGTTTATGACAGCTGCTGTTCCCTCTCTGGTGGGCCATGGGAGAAGCCATGAGGATGACAATAGCATGGTCTACTGCGGGAGTTCCTTGAATGTGATCCTCTAAATCTAACAGTCTTCATTGTTAGAAAATTTTGTTCATTTCTTTTATAATTTTATTTCCTACCTGCTTTTTGTATTGTGTCATTGTGTCATGTGTCGCCCCACTCCCCATGGCATATTCATAGCACAACTGAAGCCTCAGCCCATGTCATTCCAGGAATGTGTCCCTCTCTGGTATCTTCTTGTGTTCCCAGTATAGTTCTGGTTCCCAGAAAGTCTACTGGCCACCAAGGGTAGCCTGTTGCAGGCCTGGTAACATAGGCCTTTCCTCACATCATTTTGAGACCCACTGTCATCCATGAGCCTGAGAAATGGTGTATGGCCCACAAAGGAGGGGAAAGTGAAGCAGCAGCTATTTTAAGGGAAGGGTTTTAGGACCGACATTACAACCTAGTGTTTTGGTATGTTTATGCATATGGTTCAAAAGGGCAATGAGGATCCTGACCAAATTAAATAATCAGATTTTACTGCATTAAGGAATTGCCATTGAAATTCAAAGAACTGAATGAATGACTATACATTAAGTTTGCACGCTGTACTACAGGTATCTGTTGTAAGGCTATGAATGCTGTTATATATTCAATTTAACTCCAGAGAATAAACCAAACAAATGCTGAATTGAGAACAATATTTTTATTTCATGTCTTTTTGAAAGATTAACTATTGCTTTTTATAAATATGCAAAGACCTGTACATGTGGAAATGCAAAGCATAGCATTCATCCCATTAACATGCTAATTCATTTGGAGGAAATTGAAAAAGTAGTTTCACCTATTTTATTTGCATGTCCCTGCTAGTCTGTTACAGAACCTGTTAAGCCACCATGCCCGTGGCATAGTTAACAGGCCTGGAGGGAGCATCAACCTAAAGAATCATAGGATGTCCCATCATGTACAGCATGGGAGTAGCATGGGTCAAGGGTGGGATGACAGGCACTGCAGTCTTCCTGTTTGTGAAACGCAGATAAGTGATCATGAATTCTCAGAGCAGATTGAAGCATGAAGCAGGAGGGAGTGCTGTGTTCTGCATGTGCACTCATGGGAGAATGAATGACTGTTGTACAGGCAGCTTGGGAGTGCTGTGTGCTGTGCCTGGCTAAGGAGATGTTTGGCTTTGTGGCTAAAAGCAGTCATGCTGGTTTGGTGAAGCAACTCCGAGCTGAAGCATGTGCCATGCATTATGTGTGAGTGCTGCAGCTTCTGCTACATTCCCATGGATTGGTTAATGTGCCTGCCTCTATGGCCTGTGGCTGTGCTCTGCCTTTACTGTAGTCAAAGTACTGGTGTGGCTCAGGCTGTGCTGTACTTCAACAACAACTATCAGGAAAGAAAGCATAGTTTCCTCTGAATTGTCTTCTATTCTGCACAGCTACTCAAAATCAGTACTTTTAGTTATTTGGGAGAATGGATTATTTGATTAGAAAGCTAAGGAAAACTTTATGATTTGAGAATTAAATGTCCCAAATAACCATATGTATGCAACTGATCTCTTAAACTTTAGCTATTCTATGACTTCAAGTAATTTCATTATTTTCAGCCTTTATGCCAGTGTGCTCTTTCATCATCATTACTCATGAGAACTGAATCAAACGTATTTTGGGAGAAATTATAGAACATGAGCAATTGAAAAAAAAAAAAAACAGGTTAGCAAACCAGTGGAATTCTCATGCATGAGAACTAACAAATGACTTTTCAATAAACTAGCTGTAAGCTGTAAAGTAAAAAAGGAGCTTCCACACTACTTATCATGAGTCACAAGACGAACTCAGCAGAAAAATGTTGTGTTTCAGTAGCATGTCCAACATGTCTCAAAGGCTACAGAACATAAAAGAATGCCATATCTGTCTTTTCCCAAAGAGCTAACGTTAGTACTGGTTCCAAAGTAAATGGAATTTTGACACAGTTAGTGTTAAATAGTTTCAAAACCTGCTAGAAAATTGATACATTGATACATAAACCCCATTTTCTAATTTCAGACATATTAGAGAAAGAAAAATGTTGAATGGGATGGAAACTGATACTTTAATGAAATTTCTGGCCAATGTGTATCTCCTTTTCATGCACACCTTATGAATTCATTGTACTTATTACCTGAAAATAGAAGAATGTGAGCACCATTAAAAAACAAGCTAAAAGGAACCACACTACTTTCAGAGCTTCCCACTCTTCAAAGGTTTTCTGCAATAAAAGCTTCCAGCAGAAGAGCATATGTGGAATAACAAAGCTCAGTAAAATCCAACTAAATGAAAAGGAAGGTGAGTTGTTATTAATGGTTCTATAGCATGATGGTAAAACTTTGACATGACCTTACTATGAGGCACAGTACAGGAAAGGTATTCTCTCTAGCCTTTATCTAGGAACACAGGATATCACTAAGTTGTTCCTTGCAAAATTATTTTTAAAAACTGAGTAATGTACTGTTATAGTATAACAGTTAACAGATGTGTTGCAAAAATAGATATGCTGCCTTTTATAGCACTTAGGTCTGTCAGATAAAACATGCAGTACCTTTTCTTTGCTTCATAGTTTGCGAGAAATGAAGGAATATTGTAAAAGAACTGCATTGATGAAAAACATTTTTCTTTCCTGTTCTGCAAGTTAAATTCACAGTAGATTTCAAAAAGAAATGTATAAAATAATGAGGACTACAGAATCCATATTGTTTAGGTTAAAAACCCCCACAAATATATGTCTATCAAAGCAAGTTACTTTTAACACATCCTGTTGATGAAAAACTTTTTTCTAGAACATTAAAGCAAATTCACAAATTACTAAAGCACATATCTTCAGTCATTCAAAAGACTGTTTTCTTTCTTCACAGGTGACAGGCAGGAATCCTAAATCAAAGAAAGAAATCCTGTGAACAGGATGCAGCTTTCTGAAGTGCTTAGAAATTGAAAGATTCTTTTGGAAACCATGCTGGACTGAAGACCTAGACTGAGATTCCTCGACTCTAATAAAAATATGGCATAGCAAAGTCAAACACATTGTCCTGGCCCATACTGAGAGCTGTTGCTACTGCAACTTTGGCTACCTTTATCAGCAGTGACTACGGTCATAGTGAGCAAGAGGCATATAAGAACCACTGATCTGGATGATTTAACTTCATCTGAAAACTGAGGTAATGTGTTCTTATATTTCTCTAAGAGAAACAGGAGTGCAGTAAAGAGCTGGAAGAATCTGCAGAGCTGATTGGAGCAATGTAAGGTATGTAGTGGAAAGAGAATATAAGCAGTGTTAACTGGGTAAAAATAGAACAGGAGGCCATAATCTAAACAAAAAATCATATTTAATGTGTTACATTTGGTGCTTTATTTACCCATTCTCCTAATAAATACAGTAAGACTAAAACACTAAGCAGAAATACCACTATTGAAAAAAATCATAAAGGACAGCTGCATGGTACTGTGAGAGAAACATTCAAGACCCAGAAATACCAATGCATTAAAGGATCTAAAGGGATAACAGAAGATATTTTTATGTATTTCTGATCACCTTTGCTTAATAATACCTAAGGAAAATAGAAAAGTGCATGAAGCAGCTGCTTGCCCAATCACCCAAGCTGTTGAATTACACAACTCCTTACTGAAATAAACAGGAACTGCTGCTGAGCCTTGTTATAAATGAGGCCACCTGAGAAATTGTTGAATAGCTGATCTATAACAAGTAATTTTTAGGGAGTTGTAAATTCAGATAACACTTAAGTGGGTGGCTGAGTCTTGGGTACATTTTACCTGTTTAGCTATACCCTTTATATTTTTTTAGTTGAAGTATACATCTTATTTTTGTAATTACTTTCTCAACAACTTCTGAAAAATAAATTCTCAAAAGCCTTAGAATAGTCTACTGACATAGGTAATCCGAAGCAATGCATTTAAGCAAAGAGAATTATTAGTAAATAGGTTACTGGAAAGACTAACAGCTTAAATCATCTAGAAAAGAATACTCACAAAATAGTACTATTGTATAAACTTCCTTTTCTAAACTGTCTTGTAATTGTCAGAAGAACATGGTGAGCACATTCCCTGTGCTGTGGGCTGTAAAAGAGTAATTCAAATTTTAGGCCATCTAGTACCAAATCAAAACCACCATGGTTTAGTAATTCAAAGCATTACATCAGTATAAACTAAAGCTGCCAGTACAAATTTACTCTAAGGGTTTCTTCATTAATTTTTTGGACAGATATGTGCAATCTCTCTGTCTGTGGTTCTGCTATTCTATGCCTGACTGGACCCTTCATAGTAACCCCTGACTTTTCTTAGTTACTACTTCTTGTCTTCCCGACAAGAAGTAGTGCTCAGGTATATTGTTAGCTCATGTGTCCCTACTCCAGTCCTCTTTCAGAAGGATGTTCACAGGTCATTCACCCAACTCTTTTGTTGGTCTTTGCCTCAGACATTTATTTGCTCAAGTATTCCAAAACTTGCCTCCTTCTCTTTTTCGCTTTGACCTCAGCATAAGCTATGTGGGTGCACTGGCCATACTTCAATGACATGCTCTGCCTTGGTGGAGATTGAGCCATTATTTCTCTCGGGTATTAAGACTTTTCTCTTCTTGGGTTACTACAAGAACCACACAACTCTCTTCTGAGAAAGGGTATGCAAATGCACACCCTGACCAAGTTATCATTGATTCTAGTCAAAACTGGTGTTACAATGAAGCTGTACAGAAAAGCTTGCCCTTTCTATTTCCTCCTTATAATAAGTCAAAACATGATGTGTCAGAGGTGGTTGAATTTTAGCTCAAGAAAGTGAAGTACCATCTCTTTCAACATTTCCCAGAACAGTGGGCTTCTCTGCTGTCTATATCACTCGTCACTTTTCGCAACAGATTAAACATATCCACATGTGCCTTGTATAGGAAAAACTCCTTCACCTTCCTGTCATTCCAGGAATGACTGGACATGATCTTCTGCTATTAGGAAGCAGTCTTGACACTCTCTCAAAATCCATAATGGATTTCTGTGAGACTGGAGAAATACACTGGTAATGGATACTTTCAATGAGCAAGGAGAGTCTTGCTGGGTAAAAATTGATTGCCACTCACATATTCTTTCCCAAACGATCTTTTTTGGGTGAACTGTTAGGAAAAAACCTGCATGTTTTAGTCAAAAAGAAATTCCACTTTGGAAAGAGAGAGGTCCTTTACAGAGAGGCTGGGATAAAGGGACAGGAAGAAAGGGCTATGTGGATAACATCAGAAAAGCTTCTCAAGGAAAGCCTAGCATGGCTTTGCAGTATTCACCACCCAGAGCTCAAGGGAGTGCCTTTCTGAATGGCATGGCATGCTCAAACCTTGCTGGCTGTTTATGTTCTCCACACTGACTAACAATGCCATAATGCAGTTTGTGATTCCCAGCCTCCAAATCACAGCAATCTCCTCTCAGCTCAGTATAACTGCTGAGATGGCCATTGCTGTCTTATGTACGTTAAGCACAGAGCTTAAAATACATCACCTTCTCCATTCTGTGTTTTTTAACATTGTTTTTGTCCCTCCAGGCATTTGCATCTTTTTCTACTGCCACCAACTCTTCTTAAAGACTCAGTGGATGTCTGCATGGGTAGTAATTCTATTGATGTTGAGATTTCGTCCCAGTATGGCCAGCTCAGCTTCCCCTGCTTCACCTCTGCATGCAACATCTCTTGCTGTGTGTGGTCACTGCACAAGGGAGCTTTGTCCTATACAATGAATTTCAATACAAATATATTTAATTTCTATGACCAGCCTCTGTTGAAACAGCAATTATGCTGCTCAGTGAAAGTGTATCACAATTCAAGACTGAGCTGACAGTGAGGAGATTGAATGGGCTTGGATGCCCCTCTAGTCACAGATAAATATTTAAAGTTTACAAGTGACACAACTTTCCTGTTCTGTGTAAGAGACTGTGCAGCTCAGGTGAGAGGCCAAGCACGTCAGGTCTGTAACACACCCTGCCTCTCCTGCAGCAGGGAGGTGCTGCCATCCAGGAGGAAGTCAGGTGGGTCAGTGTAGCAGTCTCAGCCATGCAATGGGCAGTCCAGGATGGAGCCCAGGGGTCCATCCTGTAGCTAACCCTGGGGATTCTGCTGGACTTCTTCCCCAGCAACAGCCTGGCAGTAGCATTCACAGCATGCCCCACTTGAGTTTTCCACACCTCTGCCAAGAGCGCAGCACGTAACAGGTTAGTCACCAGAGGAAGAACTGGAGGGTAAACAGGGTTTAAGCAGACTGTCACAAGTGGTACATGTTTCTGGAGGATTAAGATGGAAATTACCTGATGTTTTTCAAGAGACTGGCTGTGGAACAGTCTGGCCCCAGGAACAGCTACTAACAAAAGTGCCATGGATACATCAGGTATGTAAGTCCTGGGCACATTTCAGCTGAGAGTGTCATGCAGTGCATTGACAGTGCACACCCACAGAAAACCACTAGTATGGCCTCTTGCTAATTCAATGAAGGTGTTTGAGATACAATTGTGTAAGAACACATGACCTGGCTAAATGTATATCGTTAGGTGATCCAGCCATGGGTAGGCTTCTCTTAAATACTTTGGAACCGTGGCATGAAGGTCATTCACAATCAACGTAATACAAGTGTATTGGTCACTCTCATATTGTACTGCCGCAACCCTACTCAATAATTTGGTCAATTATTTCAAAATTATGTTAATGAATTATAATTAAATTTAAAAATGCAGTAGAATATGGAAAATATTTTATTGTGAGTGTAGATATTTAATATTAAAATATGCAATGTTTGTTTATACCTCATTACAACTACATACAATGTGGAATGTATAATGTAATGGGCATCAACAATTAGTTTCATAAATATTTTAGCAAAAATTTACACTTTTTCCTGTGTAGTTTACAGAAAAAGAGCTGTGGTCGGTCATTTAAGTAAGTGCTTGTATCTGAGTATGTTCACAGATTAGATAAATGTACATAGTTTCACAAATAGTCATATTTTAGGCCCTTTAACTCTGTGTCTAGAAAAGCCACATTGAAAGAAAAGGTTTTATTAGAGAGCAAGTAAACTAGAAGCAGCAAGTAACTTCGAATAGATGGGAAGTTTGTACATACCAAGTATAGAAATACTTAAAGATCATACGTACTTACTGCTAAAATGATTGAACACAAAGTAGTATTACAATAAATATTTTGCTTAGTAAAAGCACTAGTGAAACTGGTTTAAGTAGATCATTGTTTTGAAAGCCTCTAGGATACTTCTGTTTATGTTATGGTCTACAACTGTGAGAACAAGTAAATCTCCAATGAATTGAAATAGGACTTTTTGTGTACAATCTCAAGGGGATTACCAATTTAAAATGTCACACAGTAAGTGTGAAGTATTTGACATGAACTGGTAGTGCATGATTTGGGCAGGTTGCATTCAGTAAAGTAATTCCACTCCTATCAAAATGTTATGGCACATGAATTTGATTCATGCTCAAATCTACTTCTGTGTTTGTTTTAACAGGGATCTCTTAAAATGTGATGAGCAGTCTCATTTCACTGCTCCACCTCTGCAGTCCACAGAAGCAGCTGCTTTTGGTCTCATGAGAACTTTGTCCCACAATCCTATATGACTAGCAATGCAACCACTCAGCATACACATATAAGTATTAGGGATAAAAACCAACATCAGCAATAAGCCAGTAAAATGCCGTGCAGCTAGCATAGTAAGGATGAGAATTAAATAAAATCCAACCTGGACAAAGTAATTTCAAGGACTAAAGAAAATGCTTGAGGGAACATCAGCATTTCCTCATAAATTTGCTGCAGTGGGACACAGACTGAACATGTCTGACCATGCATGTTCAAAGAGCAGTAGCTGCCAAGAAGAAACTCCCTCTGTCTCTCTCTAATATATATGGCATTGGCTGCCTTCAAGTTAGATTGCTATCTTCTGCTTGGCTCACATTGCAAAAGGCACACTTCCCACACTAAGGACAGCCTGTTTACTAAACAGCTGGAGCTAATGAGAACATAGTATACTAATGTTTGAAACTTGCTCTTTTTCTGCTGAATACAGTAATGGTCCTCTACCAATGCAAAAAGCTGTGACTAGAGGCACTCCTGTTTACTCTGATCCACGCAATATTCATTGCAGCAGTTCACTGTACATGATTAATTGTAATGGGTTCTATATATGAATTTGAGATTTTGGAAAAAAAAAATCAACACAGTTCTAATCAGCAAGCTCAGAATTCTGAAGCACTAGGCATAACCCTGCAAGTGTTACCTTGTGATTCTGCCAAAAGTAGAAGAAAACACTGCCTACAGCTCAGAGGCACATGGAGCTGCAATAAAACTAGGCTGGAGCAGATAACTTACTGTCCCTTCTAGGCAGATGCCATTATTTTCCATAATCCCTAT